TCCATTAAAGTTTTAAAAAAGAAATAATAAAATTGTATATTGTACTGTGTATCATTACAATGTGAAAATTAGTTGTAAAATAAAATCCACTACAATTATCAAAGTAAAGGTTTTTCCCTTTAGTATTTGTATTTAACATTAATATAGTTTCAACAAGTTACACTTGACTTTAACTTCCAGAAAAAAACATCTTAAAAAACAATGACTTGCTTTGCCTACAACTAGCTACCAGATAAAGGGTTTTTGTTTTCACACAGAGGAAAATTTAGGCTCACTTGTCACTATTAAAAATTGTAGCTGTTTATGTAAATATCATCCTTGTAATTCATTCATTCTTCACAGGTTTTCAAGACAAATTTCAAGATGTTTCTTGTTTATTTTTCACATGCTTCATATCAAATTTCATAAATTCAATTGTAAATGACTGCTAGCAAAATTTCCCAGCAAAACTGGAGTAAAATTAAAGCTTGACTGCAGATGCTATATTTAAAGCTATAAATTAAATTATTAAAAGACTGGAGGGTATGTTACACCAAACGGCTGTAGAAAAATACTTTATTATTACACTAAACACAATATGACTGTCAAAATAATACATTTTAGACCAAAGACAACATTTATTTAACAATAGTTTGAGCTATTAGTTACAGATCTAAAAGTAACTTGATGAGGTATTAATTTATTATTGGATAGAACAACCAATATATTAATAAACCTCTATTGTACATTTTCTGCTTAAATAAAATTACGTCATATATTGTACTTTACTGGGTATATTATAACCAAGGCACTACAAAATTAATGGATAATTAGATTAATTGAACTAATCTGTGTTTTTGTCTGAAACTTTACTGTGCTGGTGGAGGTAATTAAACTGAAATAATGAAGCAACAAACACACTGCTTATTAGTTAAGTACATACTGTCCATGTAACACCTGTCATTTTATAAATGATGCATTTAAAGGCAATCTTTACCAAAAATAGTGATACTGTATATGAAATGTTACAAAATAAAAAATGATGGACTAAAGCAGTCCAAAATAAATATTAAGATCTATTGTACTGTATATTTTCTGCTTAAATAAAATTAATTATTACAATATATGTTTTGACTGAGAAACATTAAACTAAGCTGTTATATTTTTGCTTCACTGTATCACTTAATATATGTAACACATGTGTATGTGGAATCAAGCAAACCAAATTAAGTCAACCCAAACATTTCCAGATTTAGCACATCATTATTCTTTACATTATACTGAAACATTCATTTTAAATAAATTCCTTTGAATTAAGGAAGAAGCTGAATGCCGACTTAAGAACATCCACTTATTCAAATTAAATTAGTAAACATTTTGCTTAAGTGCTTTCACTCATTAAGTAAATGTTCACAATGTCTGCTGCTTGTGTTGATAATTGCTTCCAGATGAGATAACGCAGCTTTGCAAAACTGAGTACAGGTGTGAGATCTGTGATCACTCGGTTCGGGAGTCCCTTAAAACGTTACAAACATTGTTCATCTTAATGTCTAGTGAACGGTGTACTGCCGAGTTCTTCTTTCATGCAGGGCAGGTAACCACTCTTAGCTTAACTGTTAACAAACTGCATCAATAATTGTAATAGTTCAGAAACCTTCATCTTTGAGCTCTTCAAATAAAAAATAAGACCAGATAATGGCTTTGCTGGTAAACCTGAACCACAGCTATCTATAGGTCATGGAAAGAGGTCTTCAATGAATGCACAGAGGAATTCAGATACAGTATGTGGGTGTTCGCTTGCGTATGGAATACAAAGCAACTGTCTTTATTAGTCTTGAAAATGTGGTGAATTATCATCCACTTGCAATTAATTTTAAGGCAAAGTTTACTGGCCTCTCTAGGCCATTTGAAACAGCTCTGTATAAAATGTATGAGGTAAGTGCTATTTCCTCAGTAACAAAATCAGCAAGTTTCAGGAATATATCTACCATGACTCCATCTGTATGCACCTTTAATTCACCTAGCATGCTGCCTGTGTTGCAGTCTGTGATGCTCACAAAAATCATCACTGCTGTTTGTGCAGGTGAGTTCATTCCATCACAACTGTTTCTGAGTTGAAGTGATTAACTGGAGTTCAATATTAGCATGAACACAGCCATTAGAAATGGAGTACCTTCTTATTTTATCTGATATTTTGCAGTACACACATTGAAAATGTTAGTAACTTTCTCCAGCAGAGAGGGTTTAGTCTATCCCTGCTATGCAATTCAAGTATTAAAGAACACAGTGAAACAAACATTTGGTATTTTTGGCAAATAATGATCAAACTTTAACATAAGTATAAAATATATTAAAGGGTGCAAATACGGCCTTTATAAAGGTCCAATTTCAATTAAATTACAAGACAATAACATCTGCTGTACAAAGATTCTATTGTATTTTTGACCTCTTTGTTATTTCCATCCCTTCAACCACAGTTAAATGTGTTACCTATTGATTTGGGGCCTTTTGCTCTGTTTTATTTGATAGCTCAAGAGCATTATTAAGTTTTAAATATTAACACTAAACACTCCATTTTCTAATTAGCAATAATATCCTAAACCCTTTGTTTCCTTTATCATATTCAGGAGCTCAATGATTTTGGATAGTTGCTTGAATTGTTTTATTTTCTCACCCAATTTGGGATTGTGAATTTTTCTGTACATTTTCAGCAAGAAATGGTCCACTGCACAAGGAGAAAGAGGCCAGGCAGACGAGATTCTCCAGCCCATCACTTAGCAAGGCTTTCCACATGCCGCAAGCTCTGTAGACCCCGACAGGCCAGTCAACACTGAGTGGAGGAACAATGCGTCTCTCACTGACGTCACTGCAGGCCATAGGAGATCCTGTCTCGCTGTGAGCTGAGAGGGCTCTGGCTAACTCAACCCAGTCACACATGGCAGCCAATTGGCCCTGGAGACTGCAGACATGTAGCACTGGCAGCTCAGGTCTAGCAGCTTAGTCAGGACATCCTCGTGGGTCGAGGGATGGGGTACTTCATCTGTGTCTGCATCCATGAAACCTACCAAAAAAAATCAGAGTGCAAAGCATGCCTTAATACATACGTTAGACATTTTGGCACAGGCTGTATTTCAATCAAAGTTGTATGGAGTAGAACTCACACATACTGTACAAACCTCTTTAACAGATTTGCACAGGAATCCCAGACCAATGGCTACAAGGCAGCATCACCAATCACTACACCACTGTGCTGCAGTGGTTTGTGTAAATATACAATATATTGTGTAAATATATACAAATTCTATATATAGAATTTGACTGATTTTTTTTTAAATAGTATTGGCTTTCATGTCTAAAACTATACCTGCTGGATTTAGAAATATGAGAAAATGTTTTCTTGCTTTAAAAAAATATTTCCAGCTCAAAATCGATATTTCTAATTTATCATTTCATCATAAGGGCATTTAGAGAAAGTAAACTTTTTTTATCCTACAGTTCACATCGCCAAATGTTAAAAAAGACATTCTGTCATGTTGGAAACAGAAGGGGTTAATTTTCATTTTTCTTTCCTTTTTTTACATTAGATTAAAGTTTTTTTAATATACTTTTTGGATAGAAATAGATTTTTGCTATTCAGAGCAGACACTAAAGGCAATTTTATTTTACAGTTTTACAAGTTCTTTCACAGTGTTTTCATTTTAAGAAAAGAGATCCATAAAAACTTTCCTTATGGCTCAAACACTACAGATTAATTTAAAAAAACAGGAAAAAGCAAGGCAAATACTGGAAAAAGAACAACCAGATTTGACAATTATCAAGAAGAGGTCTTGTGCTTTGAAACAGTTACTTTCTTCAACAACGATGCAAGGATGAAATATTAAAGCTCTTGCCACTGTTAATTTACCATAATGCCACTAGAATATACTGTATGTACAATGTGCACATAGCTACACATATGACATATATGTGTTTACAGGGTGGAAGGAAATGTGTACATGCATAATTTGAAGTCTGTCTCAGTGCTTATTATAAACAGCTGTCATGTGATCCTGCCTAAAATACTTCCTTTTAGTTTTGTTTCCCAGATTTTTGTTCCAAAATCACACAGAAAACATAATTTACGGTACGCCCTTCACATGTATTGTATTTAGAAACACACACACGCAGAATGAATATTGCCCATTAGTAAAAGGACCTGACAGCGCCAATCCTGGGTTCTTTTGGTGCTGGAAAATGTCTCCTCTTTTAAGTGCAAAACCATAACATTACCATTTCCCCAAGTGCTTTCTGTTTTAGCCCGCTTTCTAATTAGAGGGATGATAACAGCGCTGCTGATTGGCATTATAAAAGCACCAGTTTGGCTTCATCTGTCCCAGGTGTGCGGCGTCATTTTTTTTTTCTCCTCGCGTTTCTTCTCACCGTTTCAGAGCACTACCTTCTCCCCCTTCATTGTTCCTTAAAGTTTCCATCAGAGGAATTAATAAAGATAAAAAGACATTATAAAAAAAGAACCTCCCCTGCCACAGCTTATCATTAGAACCTTTTATCAAAAGTACAAACTATACAAGTAAGTTTTTTTTTCCTTGTCTCTCCCTGTCTTTTCTCCCTGAGTGTTTCAAAAAAAAAAAGAGAGAGAAAAAGAGAAAAGGAATAAGATTGAGCTCTGTCAATGGAGTGAATGCACTATTAAATCTGGCTTCACTACAAAGGTTAGCAGATCTAACTGTCAATACTCTGAGTCGAGTGGAGTCCAGCAAAGGGAGGGGGTAGGAGGAGGAAGGGAGGAGGTGGGGGGAGGAGGAAGGTGGTGGTGGTGGGGGGGGGCAAGGGGGGGTTGCTTTGTGAGAAAGAGATACTTTGATATTTTGGAATGTTAGAAGGGTGAATGTGAAAAATTGGAGGTTGGGGATCTAATTACCCAACCATAATTGGGGGCTAGGGAATAAGTTGCAGTCCTCTCAACTCACCGCAGATCAATTATGTTAAGAGAACATCTGTAAGTAGAACTTAATGAGGTCCATTAGAGCAACATGTACAGCCTTCTCTAACAGTACTTGTCAGCTTCTTGGATGAGCTGAAGGAAGCTGCTAACTAGGGACCTGGTGAGGTGCTTAAATACTGGAGGAGACATACTGGCCCACTCAGGTCTCTCTCTGTGTTCTGCAGGGGAAAGAGAGTGAAGAGCAGGCTGAGCAAAAAAAGGGGGAGAGTGAGCGAGCTGAGACAGGTGGTGTTTTTTATCCTAGCTGCCGCAGTTGAAAGGGAAAAAAGTAGCAACTCCGCAGCCTTACTTGAACCACGAACTCAAACCCGAAGCAACTTTCTTTTCTTTTTTGTTTTTGCCTTCAAACTGTTTTTTTTTTTTTAAAGACTGTCCGGGGGCCACCTGCCTGTTATTTGCATTTAGTCAGGTTATGCCCATTTACATTAAAAAAAAAACGAACAAAAATAATTATCACTCTTGAGTGAAACAGAGGGAGCGGGGAAAAAAAAGACGGCATGTTTATCTGCTCTAATTAATCTACCTAAAACAAGCTCCTTTTTTTTTTTACTCCCAAAGAAAGTAGTGGAAAAAGAAACGAAGAGAAAAAAAAAAGACAACACTTCAACAACTCAAATTCTATTTCTGCAGAAGGCCTTTTTTTAAAAAAAGGTAGGTTATTTATTTTCTTTTGTGTGGTGTTGGATTGGAAGATATTGCAGGATTCCTATATTTGAAGGGATGGTGGTGTCGTTGGGGGGTGTTAAAAAAGGAGGATTAAGTAAACGCTTCTATGAAATGGAAAGTCTGATGAGAAGCTGAAAGGGAGCTCAGGCTAGGGTAATCAGACCAGGAAATAGCTCTTTACTTCAATCCTTTTTGAAAGATTTTCTGAGAGTCTGTAATTAAACTCTTAATTTACTTGCTGCAGAAAAAGAAACTGCTTGCCTTGTTAAAGACAACCTTTAGCTCGAGCGACTGCATTAAGCTGCGATTTCTTTTCTCCTTTTTATTTTTTTCCTCCATGGGAGAGGGCTGGAGCTGGTGTGTTTTGGGGGGCAAAGAAATAACAAGCGGAGTTTTCCCGAGTGTTAATGATGTCCTTTCGCAAACGTGTCAGCAGAAAATGATTAAATTCCACCTCTTGTTCACCAGATCACTTTGCGCGGGCATGTATCTTACTGTAAGACAGCTGCTGATGATCACATCTGTGGAGAACATTAGGTGGCATACAGTACCTCTTCATCTGCACATTTTCTTTTTTTATTATTATTTTTTTGCCTGTGAATAATTCATATGATTATGAAAGGGGAGGAGGGCAGAGGAGAAGGGGGTAGTCTTTATTCTCTACATCTTTATGTTTTTTTCTCTACTTTCGTTTCTGTTGCATGGTTAAAATATCTCTCTGTAAATTGCATGATTGGGAAGATAGCCTGCTTTCAAATAATTTAATTCATGACAAAACCTAATTACTGTCAGGTAATACCCTGTCAGCTTTAATGCATTTCATCAGTCATAATGAAAAGAGGAGCATTTTATGACCCATCTAATTATCATTACATTTTAGGGGAAAATGAATGGCATGGAGCTGAATGTTAACTATTGATTCCATTCGCATTCTCTTTTCAAATGTGGCGTGGCATATAATTTATCCATTGCCTCTTTATGTCTATAAAAAGAACACACACATACACACCCACACATGCAAACAAAACAGAAAAGAAAACAGACTCAAGACGAAGAGCAGAAGACTCATAAACGAGTATTTAGGAATCTGTCACCAGCAGAGGCGAGAGAACGAGACATAAAGTAGTGTAGTACCTTCCTGGCTGGTACTGGCATTACGATGCCTAATGCCACAAGTCCAAACAGAGCACTAATTAGCACAGAGTGATGTCACCCTAGGCATAGGAATAATCCCATCATTTAATTATCAGAATGATTTAAACAAAGATTTGCATAGATGCACTAATCAGTAGCAATGAATTACAGAGCGTCTCTTGCCAATGAGAGGTAGCAGATCATAGAGTTGGAAGGGAAAAAAAAAACTCATCTCCTTGAACATAATTAATTTAATTGTCCTCATTAGCTGTACCATTTGTTTTGATTTTATTTCTGTCTTTCTCTCTCTCTCACTTGCTGTCCCTCTCCACATCCATACACCCTCGCTGTCTCTCTCTCTCCCTCCTTCTCTCAACTCCCCGCATATTGGCTGACAGAGGTAGTAGTGTGCCGTATGTGAAGCTGTTGTGCAGAGGTAGAGTAGGAAGAGCAAAACGGCGACTGAGTATGAGGATATAACAACAAGATAAAAAGCCAACAAAAAAAAAAAAAACAACAACAACAACAACAACAACAAGTTTATCAGCCACACGATTCGAAGCGGAAAAAGAAAGCCGGAGCCAAAGCTACTTTTGTCAAACTGTTCAATAGGAGCGTCTCATTAATCTGCCCTTCCCTGCCTGCCTTGGGTTCTGGAGTCGCTGGCTGTGGAGGTTAGTGCCTGAGTGCTGCTTGTTTTCTTCCCCGCTCCCTGACGTTTGACTTTGCACACTGCAGAGTTTGCTTTTCAGTTTGGGAGTTGCATGTGGTTGGACAAGCAGGTACCAGTAAGATCAAATTAAAAGACAAAAATACACACAGAAGAGAAAACAATATAGAGGAGTGATTTCACCTTTTTTTTCCCCTCTTTTCCAATAACGAACAAGTGCTTCTAAAAAACGTCACGGATATCTTTGAATTCTGTATCTTAACCGATGTGCCTTAAAATAAAGTCTTAAAGAATCCGCCTGATTCATTTGTCTAAGTGAGTTGTGACCTCAAAATATTAATTACTACGAAAGGCACGGCATTAATGCATGTAGCATCCAAACCAATGTAAGGGGCATATTTGTTTACAAATGAAATCTATGGAAAATCTGAATGTTCTTTTCTGAGTCGTTTTAGCTTTAATTGGTTGTCCTGAGAAATGGTAAGCAGAGGTGAGGGGGGACTAAATATCTCGCCTAGTGGATAGTAGTCAACCTGAAAGTTCAACTGAATTTTGCAAGTAAAAGGCAATGTACTGCATGTCAGTTGCAGGTTTCTTCTACGGCAGAGATGTCCAGTCCTGATCCTGGAGGGCCTGTGTGTGTGTGGGGGGGGTGGTTCATTCTTACTCAGATCGTAATGAGCAAAACCAGCTGATTATTGGCTTAACTGGACTAATGTAGTAGTTTCTTCCAGCTCTTCAGGGGCTGCTGCTTTAAAGTGACCTTCAAAACATGCAGAAATAGCGAATACTTAGGACCAGGATTGGACAACCCTGTTCTAAAGTGTTTCTCACAAAATTAAATTGTGTCAAAGTTTGCAATGAGTCTTCTGTACAATGTGCACTACACACTTTTATCTGCTAAGACAAGACATGTTGTTTCTGTTTATTGATCTTTGTATATAAATTTCATATATTGATCACACTTGCAAATTGCAATCAGTGAGGCCATAGAACAGATTTATTAAATGACATTTCTAACCAGAATAAGAGATACAAAAATACTGTGAAAAAATATTTGTAATGTTTCCAAGTAACTTTATTTAAAGCCTTTTCACTTGAAAAATATGTACTGTATACTATCTTCTTTTAGGTCACTAAAAAGCAAACTGTTATTAGCGCAAATCTCTTACAAATTAATCTCTATATACTGTATACATGAGTTCAAATGTTACAAATACTGTTCTAGTACTTATTTTCTGTTTTTTCTGTATAAAAATACAATCTTTTATTCTAGTGCTCTTGAAGAGAAGATAAATTAGCAGAACCTGTTTTTAAATATTGTATTAGTTCATGCCTCTGTGAAAAGCAAGAGCAATCAACCTGATAAAAATGTCACTCAAGAAAATGGTAAAAAACTAACACCAAAAAATCCTTGTTATCATCACACTTTAAGGACTGTTCAATACAATCTGTGCAACTACCACTCACAAAAACATTAAAACCTTGCCATACCATTGTATCCCATTATTACAGATTTCATATGCTTAAAGAAAGTCAGACAGCTGAACAGACAGATGTAGTTTGACACTGAAAATTATGAATGCCTTCTACATTTTCACAGTTTTTGAACTGCTTGAAAATACAATAGTAATATAAAATGTAATTTTACACATCCAGGTGTTTATTTAAAATGTGTCAAAAGAAGATTCTGTATTATACTGAAGCTTACAAACCACTGTAGTTATATTAAAGACAGCTTACATTTCAAACCAAATAAAGTGACAAAAATCAATTAACTAAGTCCTAAAATGTAAGCATAAAGTTTCTTTGAAGGGTACTGCTTTATTTTCAGATATTTTCTCTTTACTAAATTATAAATTAATTGAGACTCAATTAAAATAACTGATCTTCAGAGAGACTTAAAAAAGTATTAATAATAAATCTAACATTTTAAAAGAATGCAGCTAATTAGTGTTGTTTTGAGTCATAGCCTTTAATGACAAATTATGGTATTCTTGTACTTTTGAGAGGCACGTTAATAACAACTCAAAATAGGATGAAGTAATCAAGTATCTTCTCTGTTTTCATCTATTGATATCAAGATTGCCTTGATAGATTGTAAGATCTTCAGAGAAAAAGAAACTCAGTGTCAGATGTGAAATCTGTGGAAATTACATGCACAAAGCTAAAAATCAGTGTCTTCTTCACTGATCTTTCACGTGAAAACCTTCAAAAGTCCTTAAGAATTAACAGAACACTGCACATAACTGATTCATTAACTGAGTCATCCCTCCATCATGGTAAAGATATATTCATCGTTTTTTTTTCTATAAATTAGCTTTATTCAGCGTTCTACTTAAGGTATTTTTTGACCATTTAAAATGATTTCTACAATTCCGATTTTAATTGCCAAATGTCAAAGCCCTTACCCCAGCTTTGCATGAAAAACAACTGCCTAACAAAGTAAAAAGATATGTCGCGAATAACACAGGTCCCTCTGTGGACTTTATAGTTCTATGTAGATTTAGAGTTTGCATGCGTCCAAGTTTTACAAGTAGGAGGTTATTTGTTAACTTCATACCTAAACCAAAGCGACACGATGGCTTCCCGGTTTTCGCAGTTCCTCTCTCGCTACTTCAGGCACCTGGGCTTCCTTCCAGACTAGGCCCCTTCTGTATGGAGTCTGTATGTTCCGCCCGTGTTTTTTTGAGTGTTTCGAGAAGGGGAAATTAAGATAGTCCTTCAAACGTTTTACAGGTAATGGAGATATTGGTATGTGAATTTAATGGATGGCATTTACGTAAAAAGGCTTTAATTTTCCTCCCAAACTATTTTTTTTAATGATTTTGTACAGTATATACAGAATGCAGGACTGAACATAGAGGTCGCTTATAGGAAAACTGCAGCGTGATTAAAAAAATAAAAATATTTAATGACATACAAACATGCAATGCTAATGTTAGGAGCTAATGCGTATCTTTATTGCCCTCTATGGTTACAATCCCAATTTTTTTTTTATAAATGGAATAAAGAGGGGAAAAAGTAGAAAAGTTTTTCTATTTAACTTACTCATAATAACTCAATGCTCCAAAGGAGAAGGCCATGTGGTAGGGGAAACTATCGGCGTCAGTTCCTTGTAAAGATGCTGCCTCTGAAAACTGCATCCCTAGAAAGGCGCTTTGCTCCGTATTACTTGCTA